TCCTGTTTCATATCTTTTTAGGCCATTAACACAAGGTAGGAGGGGCTGTGCCTTCTTAAACCAGCATTCAGGACGTTGTGAGCATACCCATAATGTAAGCAATCAATAACAATGGGACACGTTCTCCACTCTTACATCTACCAAGGAGCAGGCAATCAGCAAACTAGCTCTTGAGGTGCATCCATAGTAGGTTTACGGTCTCAACCCTGAAAATATTTCCACAGAGTTGTGCTATATAAATCAGTTAGAAAGTCCATTGTTGTAAAGTGCAGCATGCACAGGTGCTTTCAGGACTAGGGCCCAGGAGGCAACAGAGTTTATTTTAAGCCTGCTCACTACATACAGTGAGTAGCAAGACACCGTGATTTTGCTTTGCTTTGTTTTCGTCATCACAGCAGCTTCCAAGAGTTTAGGAGTGAACCGCTGGTTCTGTTGAATAAACTGCAAGCTTTTATTGGCTTCAGCTAGACCTTTTAATCACAGTGGTGTTTACCACCATTGCACAGAAATACTGAATTTTTCCACACAAGGAAGAAGACAAAAGGATTTCTTCAGGTAACATCTTTTACCTAAAGACCAGGAATTACAATGTATATTTTTGATATATGTATGTTTATAATATATGTATGGTTTAGGGTTTTGTTATAAAACAGATGCAGCTCAATATGCCCTCCTCCTCCCCTCCTCCAAAAGTTGGCTTGGATATACCAGCTACCAATCACCCTTTCTTTTGAACATGCGGTGAACAGTACCCACCTGTTCCCAAATACTCAATCAGGTTTTGAAAAGACAAGTTTTTACTAAAGGAGAGAGAAAAACACAATATTAATTTGGAGAACAGAAGCAATAATCAGTAATTCTCACGGAGTACAGTACCTAACGCTTCAGCATTCTGGGCAGCACATGGATTCCCTTGGGTATGGTTGTTCAATGGACAGGTCCCACATGCCATCTTCGTATTATCTCCTTCAACGGCTATTTCAGAGCTTGTGTGTCAGAGCTCACTGTTTTTCAGCATGACACCGTTTGCACATTTATGCAGGGTTGCCTAAGGAACCTTTACTCAATTCAGCCATTTCAGCTCAGGATATGCTAAGCAACACTGACCCCTCTTCACCTGCAGTGAACAACTATGATCGCCTTTTGTTGCAACATCAGATACTGTTGTGAAGCTTCTGTCATGGTAACTTGAGATCTGTCTAACTGCAGCATTGCTGTAAGGAAGGCAACAATTTTGAGGGAGAGGTGTATATCTTATCAGACCAGCTAACAGAATTGCAAGAAAAAAGCAGGCCAGCTTTTGGTCCTGCATGGCCTGATCCCAGAAGTCTGATGCAGAAGGAACAAAATTCATGCTAAGCATAGACTGAGCTGTGTCAGTGCCACATAGTGGGGAAGCCTCAGGAAAGTTTATTCATTTCTTGCAGATTGCTCCAGCTTCCCAAAAAAATCTAATCGGCCTTCAAAAATGTAAAAATCTAGGATTTCAGCTACCCTTCAAACACAGAGGAGATCTTTAAAAGCTTTAAAAGCTTAGATATTTTGAACAGAGTTTGTGCTTATTGTGCTACCCCTCTTTCACAGCATAAAAACTTTTCCTTAGTTCTATGTTGTTCAGGTCCTCTCCCATTAACCATAGGTACACAGATGAAGTTTTGCTACGATGAACTGCTTACTTAAGACATAGCATAGTTTAGCATAGCATAGCAAGGTTTTTAACTTCCGCGATGAGGATAATGTCATTAAAACTCATATAATGTCATTATATGAGGTATAACAAGATTCTCTCCAGTGCCAGGCCAGGGCTGCATGTGGGAAGTCTGCGGTATATTTCCTGCAAAGCTAGGGATGAGAGAAGAAATAATGAATGTCATTCTAAACCTTTCACCTCTGAATAATATATGACCTCTGGTTTTTATACAGCATCTCGCAAAGCTCTGGTAGGACGGTGCAGAGGAAAGAAATTTCCTACTTTAGAATGGAGGTAGCTGCATGGAGGGGCTCTCTCTGTTCATAAATATCGGAAAAATAAATCCTTCCCATTCGCCCCCTTTCTTTGTATTATCCTTTTCAATTCACATTTTACAGTGAAGATCCTGAGTTTCAGCCAACATGAAAAGAGGCCTGTAAATCTGATGTACATAAATCTGTATAGCAGATTTCAGAGGGATTCATAGTTTCTAAGGGAAATTCATAAGTATAATCCTGGCTAGTTTTTAGCAAGTGTTCCCTGACTACAAGACTGTATTGGCAGAGCCTGCACAAAAATGTTGCCTTTAAATGTCTGTGCCTAGACATAAAGAAGGCATTGTGCCAAAATGAAAATGAAAATCATTGGCCAAATTAGCATCGTGTGATCCTAGTTTTAAAATGACCCTGAAGCTGTATAAACAAGATTACATAAGGGTTCAGAGGTATGTGAAGCAGTTCAGTAGTGCCATCTTCAGGGAAGCTCCTAGACGTTATGTACGATTTCAGGTTTCAGATCATCAGCATTTGCCCATGTTTTATTAGTTGGAAGTAAGTCAGTGAACTGCCCCAGATGAACAAGGTACAGTAGATTCAGAAATGCATTAAAACATACCCTTATTTGGCAGAAAAGTCAAAGCCAGCACTAATGCATTTCTATTGCTGCAGAAAATTACAGTCTGGGAAATAGAATTGTAATAATGTTTTGCAATTCTAGCTGTTTATCACATAGCCACTTAGCAATATGAATTAAGCCTTGCAAAACATTAACACTAATTTAGACCATAAATATCTTTGTGTCACAAGGGAGCCAATGGAGGTAAAGCGATGATTCCAGAGTCCCACCAAATACTGTGTATTTTCTGTGATCTTTTTTTTCATTGGGGATGCAGAACACGGTCCATTTATCCTAGCCTGATTGTCAGTAGAATTTTAACTATAGATTGGAACTGAGATTGATTAATTTATGAAGTGGGCAAATGGCCAGAATTACAAACGAGATTGCTTTCAGTTGCTGTCTGCCTTCCTTTCTATCCATTTGTATCTTCCCTACCACATTGGTTTGGAAGTGCCATAAACCATCTGATATATAAAGAGCAGTACATGTCAAAAGTGGATTTAATTTTTCAGATCTGCCAGCTGGTGACAACTAGAAAGGTTTAGAGGTCATGCAGATTTCTTACTGGGGTGGCCTCTGTTTATTTGATAAACATTTCTGCATTTCCTGACCAGAGCCACAGAGGGCAGCAACTACAGGTTGGTAAGCGGAGAGTGTTTTTTTAACTCTGCTCGCTTCTTTTAGCAAGTGAACAAATTTACAGCTCTTATATCAACACAAAAATAGTGCACAACCTTTAAGAGCCTAGATGTTGATGACTCATCACTTGACATGTATAATCACCAGAGCTGATGTATGATTTATTGATTATCTATGAAAGGACAGACAACTGTGAACTTCAATGCTTCTGTAAATATCACCATTACACTAGTACAAATATATCCAGTGTGTGATCCTACAGCCATGTACAATTCCTCCGGGCCCTATAGGTGAAAATAAATAAACAAACTCATGTCACCTGATTTAGAAGATCCAAGCACATTTATTTTTTGCGGCATTTACCTGGATCAAGTTTATTTTTCTCCTTTAGAAAGCTCTGAACAGCTCATAAGACTGTTAAAAGGAAGAAAAGGGAAGCAGGAAAGGAGAAAAAGGGGCGACACCTTTCCTTCCAAGGGAATATTAAAGATAGGGGAAGAACTGAACACCTCCTTGAATGGAGCTGCAGATAGCCTCAGATCGATTGCAGACTGAGATCCTGATACAGTAGTGTGACATTAATTTCTCAAAACAGTGTCTTTAAATAAATAAGAACAAGTTGTGGCAATGTCAATGCCATCTTCATGCCATCTCCTGCAGTGATACTTTGCTGTGACTTTTGTTGTGCCTTACCACTGGCCAGAGTTGCATTTGTGTGTGTAGTTAGTCCGTGTATGACACAGTATGTAATTCTGTTTATCCTTGATCTGATGTTAAGTAAATGGTTATCATCTGAATATTCACAAAAATAACAGAAATAGAAAACAGCTGTTCATAAGCCTTCCTAAATCAATTCCTGGAAAAGTACTGAAGAACAATATTCTGCATATATTCTTCTGAAGTATAATTTGCTTGAAAAATATGCACAACATGCATATTTTTGAATAAATGGGAACTTATACTGAATCGTGCCTAGTGAATCTGTACATACCTTTGTTTATTTGGCTTCCTCCTCCTGTCTTATATTCTTTTTGCCCTATACCTTGCATCAGATTCTTGGGAATGAGATGTCTATGGTAGTCACTGAAATATGATAGTTTATGGAAGTGAGAGTCTGCCTTCTATATGCATTGACTTTTATGCTTTTTTGTCAGTCATTCTAGTCTTTAAGCTAACTTTTCAGATCAGCATTACCATAACAATGTGAAACTGAAACTTAAGTGAAAGAGGTAAACACTAGCGTTTGTTAGATATATTTTTCAGTGAGAGACTTTTCCCCTCTTTTCTGAATATATTAATAAATATTTTTTCTTTTATTACTTTGGGAAACTGTCACAAAATCACAGAATCATTGAAGAGCTGGTGTTAGAAGGCACCTCTGGAGATCATCTGTTCCAACCTCCACTGGGCACCACTGAGAAGAGCCTGGCCCCATCCTCTTGACACCCTCCCTTCAGAGACTTATACACATTGATCAGATCACCCCTCTGTCTTCTCTTCTCCTGGCTGAACAGGCCCAGCTCTCTCAGCCTTTTCTCACAGGAGAGATGCTCTCCTAAGATGCCCTTAACCAGCTTTGTGGCCCTTCACTGGACTCACTCCACTAAATCCATGTCTTTCTTGTGCTGGTGAGCCCAGAACAGGATGAGCACTCTAGGTATGAATAGAGGGGAAGGATCACCTCCCTCGACTTGCTGCCAATGATCTGCCTAACGCAGCCCAGGATACCGTTGGCCTTCTTTGCTGCAAGGGCACACTGCTGGCTCATGGTCAACTTGGTGTCCACCAGGACCCCTAGGTCCTTCTGTGCAAAGCTGCTCTCCAGCCAGCTGGCCCCCAGCCTGTAGTCGTGCATGGGGCTATTCCTCTCCAGGTCCAGGACTTGGCGCTTTGCTTTGTTGAATTTTTCAGAGTTCCTCTCTGCCCAGTTCTCCAGCCTGTTGAGGTCCCTTTGAATAGCAGCGCAATCATCTGGCGTATTAGCCACTTCTTCCAGTTTTGTGTCATCTGCAAACTTGCTGAGGGTACATTCAGTCTGTCATCCAGATCAGGAAAGATAAAGGGATTGTTACTGCAAAAAATATCCAAGGTTATACTCACAAGGCCTTGGTATGTGATGATCACATATATGTAGCGAATCATTATGAACTAGAGAGGTAATAACATTTTTGCTAGAATTTGTGGAACTAAAATTATTTCCATCATACACTTCTCCATCAATACTGCATGCATGATATGCAATTATCAAAATTACTAGGTAGTGTTGCTCTTTCACTCAGTTCTCACTGCAATTAAAAACTCTATATAATCTGGCTTTGGGAAGAGGGTCTGTGTGTGTACACATTCATACACACCTGTGAAAGGAGGAAATATATGGGAAGGCTCTATATTTTTGCACTTTTTTATAGCCTCCCCAGTTCTTTCTATCCTTCTGAAAATAATATTCAGAAGATTTTTTGTGCTGCAGCGGATTGCTGACCTATCCGCTAGAGGAAGGAAATATATTGATGGGAAGGGTATGGCAAGTTAATATGGTGTGTTAAGCATATTTGGGAAATGAGTTTGTAGATTACAGCAGGTTTCTTAGCCCACTTTACCTGCCCAGCCCATCTATATAAGGCTTTCTAGAGGAATGAATAGGGAGGTGTGGTGTATGGTAGGCAGAGATGGCACTCCAGTCTTCTGTGTCCACTGGGATTAGGCTCTTGTTTACTCATGTAAATGAAGGGAATGATTTGGCATTAATGAATAAACTGTCTCCATTGCTGTTTATATTAGTCTTTTTTTCTCACAGGAAAAAAGCAAGAAGACCTACAGTCCAGGTGAGAATAGTACCTGTATGCATTTATTCAATTTGCTTTTTAGCTCTCTTCTCCTGAATCAGGTCCACTTCTACAGCCCATGTTTTACTAAAGCGTGATGCTTGATCTTTGGTGGCCAAGCAAATATCACAGACTGGGGGCAACTAACCTCCAGCAGAGTTGTGGAAAATACTTGCAGTAAAATCTCTCAAAGGCTTTTCCCATTTGTTGTTTTCTTTGGTTTTGCACTTCTATGTAGACATGTCTATATCTGAACAAATGGTCTTGAATTTACCCAATCTGCATGCAAAAATGGCTTGTATCTTGAAAATATGTGAGAATTCACATATTTTCATTTTATCTATTCCATAGAAATTACAAGAAAAGCAAAAACTGGATTGGAGGAATGACACAAAATTCAACAGAAATGCATTTAAGATAAATACACAGAACAAAGAAGGAGCTTTTTTTCAGTTAAGCGTCCTTGTGGGTATCCCTTGTTGCATTTCCCACTGTATGCTATCCCACTAGACTGAGGTACTAAATTGATACCAAATAAGTATTTGTACCATCCGAGTTTCCTTTAGAATTTTCTTTCTCTTCTATTTCCAAATTACTGGTTTGTGATTTGGTAGTTTCATTTAACTGCAGTTCTTAAACTTGCCAGCCAAATAGTAGATGAAATGATTTTTCTACAGTAGAAGACCACAAAGTCCACAAATTCCTGTTGTAGGGAGTTTTCTGTACGCATCTCTTCCATTTATTTTTAATTTTAAAAGCCCAGCTTCAGGGGGATTGTGTGAAGGGTGAATGTGTCAATGTGTTTCATTGAACTACAGACCAACATCACTGCCTGGAAACTGAGAATCATCTGACTTCTTACAATGTTAACTGCTTCTACCACAGCATTGTTTCTCAAAAGCAAATTCTGTTACTGGTTTTCTATTACCCAGCAGTGGATGTATTATTACAGCAGTGAAATATCTGAACAAAAATTAAGCTTGCACTAATTTTATCTCAGAGAAAGTAGTTTTGCAGCAGTGGATTAATTCAAGGAAATAATTTTCTGTTGGACTTATCCTACTGAATGTGTGGTTTGTGTTCCCCTTCTTCTGCAGACCTCCTGTGAGACTGCTCCTTCTTGTGAGACTCCTTTGCATCATCTCTTCTTGCTCTGACATAGATGTGTTTTAGACTCATGCAACAATGAATGTAATGCTAAGATCCTACTAAGATCCCCACCGTAGATGTGATATTCTTACACGGCGTATTCAGCACATACACAGTTCTATATCAACTAGATACAGTGAGGTGTCTTCAGATTTAGCTCAATCAACCTTCTAAACTCTTTTGCCACACAGATAGATGCTGGCTAGATGTCATTTCAAATTTTCAAAAGGGGAAAAAAATGAACCTTCCTTCAATTTCTGTTACGACCTCCAGCACTTATTTTCCTTCCAAAAGAAAAAAAAAATCAGGTTGCACTTTCATCTTATTCATATATTCATGCTATGGTCAGAAATTCAGGTCCAGTAAACAAGAAATTCATGCATGTAGTGGTGTACTCTGTTTTGTTTGTATGTTAAATATGACTTTCCCTTGCAGCTAAGAGGCTATTTCCCTTAGAAAGGATGTTATCCCCGTAGATTTGCTGTGCCATGCTGTGCTTTCCAGCCATTCAAGAAAGGTGCTGAACAACGGGAGAAGGGAGAGAGAAAGGGCAAAGACAAGAAAATACCTGGAGCAGATTTTGCAAGTACACTGTGATACCCTTCCATTTAAGTTTTTCTCAATGAAGTCATTTTCTCAGCTTTTGAATAACCCAGAAAATTTCTTAGGCCCTTGTTTATGACCCACTGTGTCTGCAAAACATAAAAATCAAGATTTCCTTTGCCAACTGCAACACACAAACAGGCACCGTGATTCACTGTAGGGAGGAGTCTACAACGGTACACATAAATTTGAACAGCAAAATTACACACGTGTTTAAATGAGGACTTAATTAGGCATAATGTTTTAACTGTCTCAGTGAAATACTGTATTTGATTTGTGATTGCATTTTAACATCAGTTATTTCTGACTCTACATACATTAAAGCCTTATTCATTCATGACTGGTTGCAAACAATAATCCGATAAATATCAGCTTTAACCCCTTGCATGACAGCCTAAGAAAATAAGGCCCTGATCTTGACTAAGGTCTTAGTAGGCTATAATAAGATAAAATGATACAAGTTTCTCCTATAATTTTTGTCAGAGGTCATCAATCAGTATTCAACAAAGCCATTATTGATATTTGATACCAATGAGTTCCTAGTTCACTGGCCAAGAAAAATCATATGACACTTTAAGGCTATTCTTTCTCTTATATGAGACCCATAATTAATAGGGCCAAATCATTCTTGACAGATAATTAATTCTCATAATTAATTCCACAGAGTGACTGACATTTCATGTAAATACCTCTTTGGGTAGGATGCAAAGAGAAAGGGCTTAACTGCCAAATACAGTGTATTTTGCATCCAACTAAAGCTCTTCATTGCTGAGCTATTGCAGACCTTTTGCAGAACTGCATCAGCACAGGTTTCCCTATTTTTTTTCTCCTTTGGTCCCTTTGCAAATCACGGGAGAAATAGTCTCTAATTTGAGAGTGGGAAGGGATTAAAAATGTTTAAAGAACCAGAATGAAGCCAACCATTATTGCAGTTTTTGAAACCATGTCACAATGTGTACCATCTATGTGACCCTCCCGCAGTGATAACACCTCAGCACAGTCTGCCAGTGCTTTTAATCAAGATGGCTGAACCAATCTAATATGCCAGTGTTACTAAAAAGCATAATCCCATTCCCTCTTCCTCTTCTCTGGTGCAAGCTCCGGTACACATTGGACCCATCACTGGACTGAATTGGCTCACCAAAGCTGGAAAAAGTAACACAACATGCCTAAAATGCCATGTTAATGAGCTGAAACAGCTCGTGAAGGAGCAGAGGAGAACCAGAGCTTGCCACAGAAATGGCTGGAGTGAGGAAAAGGGAACTAGAGGGTCCCCTCCTGTCAGCACCGACCTGGCCACACAGCCTATCTCACCCTAAACGGCCTGCTGGCCTCTAATACCCAGGAAAAATCCTGACAACTTCCTTTGCTAGGCAGGAAGAAAAGGGGGTAGACAGGACACAACATACTTTCTTGTTGCATTTATCTTCAAAAGCAGAAAACAGCCCTTTGTCCATAGGCCCTCATGAAGTAGACAGCTGTGTAACTAGAAGGCTGCTTTTTACACATGACCGCGTGAAGTTTACGTTCTAAGTTCTTAAGCCCTGTCAAATTGCAGGAGCATTCCCTGTGAGGTAGCTAGTATTGGCTACTCTTACAGTGGGAAACAGGGAGACACACTGCTTTATCTTATAGCCATCTGGGGAAAGACGGCTAGTAGGTGTAAACTGCTTGTACTGCAGTGAAATCAGAGCCACTTAGGAAAGCTGAGGGTCTGAACCCTCAGCCTTCAGGCCAGGTTTCCTGAAGAAACAATGCTGATGTGATCATGCAATATGTGTGTCTGCAGGCCTATCTGTATTTCCCATTAAGCTTTCCAATGACATTTAGTCAGGGACAGAGATTTCTCGGAGATGTTAAGTTCCCACAGCTTCTGGCTAGCTATTAAAAGTAGTGCTCCTATTTACCAAAGGATGTGGTAGAGAGTGAACTACCCTGTTTTAGAAATCATCTCAATCATGTGAAAGCCCAACCTAAAAATACAAATCCGAGAAACAAAGCTTCATTGGGTTCTACGGACCTTATAGAACCAGCATCCTTCGATGTAAGTCAGCCTTTCAGCACTACAGACAACAGAGATTTAGTTCATTGTTTATAGAACGACAGGCAAAAAAAGTAATAAATTGTAGTATTGTTCACCTTTGAAGACAGATTCCTACTTTTCCTATAAGATACCTGAATAAAATACATCATGGATGAAATGCAAAAGCTTTAACTCAATTGTGTTTTTATAAAGCTCCCAGGATTCATGCAAAATGATGCATAATTCACAGTTTTTGTAATAGGACTGCCTGGTACTTATAACATACGTATAGGGTTTTTTTTTTTTGATTTGTCACCATCCCAGTCAATATACAGCTTTAATCATTGCCTTTTGGAAATTATTTTTAAAAAAATCATTGTGAAAGCATAGGAATTAAAAATAGGACAGATCTATTAGATCACCAGATGTTTCTACATGTCAGTCCAGGACAATTCTCTATGACAAATCCACCCAGCTGAGTTTTAGCAGTCTTAGGCAATTGGACAACTAGCACTTTCCCTTACATTATAATTTTTTCAAACCGTATGTTGTGTGCTTTGTTTCATTAATTCAGCCATATTTTTTCCTCTTCCTTTTGCATAAAGATTGCAGCACTCACATGTCAAGCTGAAGAAGACGTTATTCTAACAGTAACATCTAACATCTGTTTTTGGCAGGCACTATGGGCAGTTGGCAGCAGCTTTATAGTTCCCTCCTTATGTAAATGATCATGTGCTGGTGGCTGTCTAAGCTAATGTTGCTAGAAGACAAAGGAAGAAAAAGTCCTTTTGCTTTTACTTCCTTCTTACAGCTAGTAAGAACATGAGGGGTTTTGAGTGTTTAGCAAACACCCTCATTTTCACTGTATGTAGGCCAGATTTGGCTTCAGGGAAACCGAAGAGAGCCCTGTGCAAGCAGGAATATTCACTAAAAAAATTATCAAAGGGAAAAAATTGTCAATGTCTTATTATGAACAGATTTGCTTACTGGAAAGAAGAAATGCTAAGGAACATTGCCTGTCACAGAGGCAAAGAAGAAACTATATTGTGCAACCTCCAGTCCACATAACAGATGTATCAAACTTTTCCAGACCTGGAATACATTTCTAAGCGGTGATTTCACTGGATGCACAATGATTGTTGAGACCTTTTAAAATATGCATGTAAAAGTCAGATGACGAATATACAGCCCCCCATTACTGTGAAAAATATGGCCTTTGTTGGGCATCCCACAGAGAGAACACTATTTGTCTCTCTTTTTTTATGTGTTAATCACTTGGAATGTGGAATAAAACAGGGATAACTGAAGAAATTCTTTCCTGTGTTACACAAGAAGACAAACTAGATGATCCATTTTAACTTAGCTCTGTGGATTTCCAAAATCCAGTCTATGAGATCTCAGCTCCTACTGAGATATAGTTTCTGAAAATATTACTTCTCTGAGGTGTTTTTGAGATTCTTGGAACGCCTCTGCTCCCAGCAACGTGAGTCTTAATGCACTTTATTAATTCGACAGCAATTTTGTTGTTGACTGCAGTGAGGGTACAAGTAGATGGAAGAACATATCAGCATTGTACAATGCAGTTGTAAATGAGATGTTCAGCTACAAGGAGCAGGCGTTGGCCTGAGAGCACAGTTTCATATTAGCCCAAGGTATTCTCAGACAATAGTTCAATGGTCCTGCCTTCTTCTACATCTTTACCTTACCACCTTGTCCTTCATACCTGCACCGGCGCTTCTTTGCATGCATTTTAAGCTGGTCAGGTAGCTCAACTGGCCAAAAATCGATTCTACCAAGAAACATGGGCTTTAGAAGCCTGGGTAGAGCTCAATGCTAATGTAGCAATACTTCTCCTGGTCCCTAAGTCATTTAGCACCTCACATTTCTTGCCTCAGAACTGCATTGTGCCATACTGATATAACTCACACAGGTTGAGGAACAATTGAGAAGGCTGCTCTAGATCACCTGGATCATTTTTGCAGTTTCATATTCCGGCCCAATATCTCTAATCAAGACTGCAATGTCAGTTACAGATGTCTTTTCCCCTTCCAGCATGCAGCCTCAGCATCGCAAGAAGGTGTCATAGCTGTTATAACCATGGCTCTGGGTAGTTATCTGATAAATAATTGTTGGCATGCAGTTTAGCTAATCTTGTTTTAAGTAAAAACAATCACTCCTACTGTTTGATATCTGAGTGACTTAAACACCACTATAGGATGGCCAGTTGAGACTGCTGCTTAGTAGTAAGAGTCCCAAAGGACAGAGAAAACAATAGAGCTTGAAATGGTAGATCAAGAGCTGTTTAAATTTGAGTCTACCTATAATATTGCTCTCTGTCAAAAGAGAGTCAAAGCACTTTAAAATGTGGTAAAGTTCATACTTCACTATAGTCATACATGGATTTTTAATCTAGTGATTAAGAAGATAAAATTGATGTAGATTTAGAGTTCAGGTCTAGGTTTTATTTTGGCTCAGTTCTAATGTTCAAGTTAATTTTCAGTTCCAAATATTCTATGTGGGAAATAAGATTTGGTCAAATCTAAGAGATAGATAGCTGCTGCATGTGCTCAATTTCCTCAGACTTCAGTGGTAAACTCAGAATGCCTAGCCACTTGTAGGGCTGGGCTTTAACCTGTATGCAGCATTAGTTCATCGCTTCAGTAAAATGCTGCTAATTTCTCTATTTTATTCTATATCAGAGTATCAGGTATCAGAACGCTGTAGCTGTGTGTGCATTGGAGAATCCTGGCCTTTTCACTGGGAACTATTTCCACATGTTTACACCAATGTTTCTATCTTAATGTAATTTTAAACTATACTGAACAATGGTGGGAACATGCTGTGCATACTGTTGTGAGGAAAGAGAAAAGAATGAGCAGAAGGACAGTAGGAAGCTGAAATGATGTGTGAAAACGAGAATATGACTAAGTGACTTACCATTCAAATTGTCTTTCACCAAATGTGTGTAATCAATTCCAGCGCAGGAGGGACGGTTAACATTACAAAGGGTCTAATCATGGATTTGTCCAATATCATCTTTCCGGAGAAGCAGCCTCAGATGTCTGTAAAGCATACACATGAATTTAGTAACAAAGACTTGAGGTTGGATCACTTTGCCTGTATAAAATGATTTGTATTCCAGATTTAAGGTATCCCTGCCATAGTGATTTTATTCTCAGGGAGCTTCTCCGCTCATTCTCAGCAGTGATTTTATTCTCAGGGACTTCTCAGTACTTGTAAAGCTATGTCTACAAATTTGACTGAAGACAGTACTTTGTGACAACTGAGATAGCAGTACTAAGTGAACTCTATATTTCATTGTATTTGAGTTTTATATAGAATGTACAACAATAACATGCACAATATGCCTCACAAGGAAATAAAACGACATTTGGAAAAGTCACTGTGAAAACGATCTATTGCTTTCCAAATTAATTCATGTCCTCTGAAAGTACAGAAGACAACCATTTTAGATTTTTCGGTAAAGAGGAAAAAACCCTGTACTCTAGGTTGCGCTAAAAATGTTAAGCCAAACAGCTGTGGCCTTCACATTCAATTTAACAGCGATGGAAGATCTGTGACATCCTCCGTGGAACTGATCTGAAATATATTTAAACAGCAACAACTTTGATTCATTTGTAATTTTCTAACTACATATTCTCCCTTTCATGGAACTTTGTGCTCCCTCAGAAATTCAATTTTCCATTGGTCTTTTCAACAGAAAAGTTCTCATCAGCTCTAGTTCACATCCAGAAATCACAAACCTGCTTTGAATTTCCAAAATAGGAAGATTTTCCATGTAATTTCTTCTTATATGTATTTGCATTCCTGTCTTAATTTGAATACTAGAGGAAAAAGCCTCAGGGACTTCTGATTTGTCCCAGCTCAGTTACAACCTTGTTCCGAGCAAAGAAGAGCTGTATATGAGTCTTACGCTTGCATATAAAGTAGTCTATAGAAATGAAAGACACTTAGGAAATAGGGTAGTTTTCTGAAAAGCTAAAAAATGAGCACTTAAAAACTCCAAGTATTGGTATTGATCTGCAATGATTGCATTGAAATTAGTGGAGTTTCTCCCTTTTTGTAGCATTATAAAGTAACATTGGAATTTGGCCTACTTTCTGAAGTTACTTCCAAATTTTATTGTACTCCTCACAGAAAGAAAAACCTATCATTACAGCTCTCTTAAATCAATTCAATGTAATTACATCATCGCATGTGTCTCAATAATTTTCAAGATCAGTGGAAAACATGGAAAAAAAAGAAATCTGAGCTTCCTTATATAACTCTTCTATTGTCATTCTTCCTGTTGCCCTAAGTAGCTGCATTCTGATGGTACACTACAAAAGAAAGCTCTTTAGACAGCTTTCTGCCAACTACTTCTTTTATCTGTAGATGCTTTCAGTGACTTGTTCACATATCTTTTTTTTTCTCCCAAGCAAAATAATCTTATACAGCTTCAATGAACCTGACACTGAGAAGCAGCTAAGCTGGACTACACAGGGTCATATCACAGCTTAGTGAGAAACATAAGGCCACCAAAAGCAGATAGCTGTAGACAGCAGAAGGGTCCAGGATAGCTGCTGCTTCAGGCCGGCCTTCAGGTAGCATCTCACAAGTATCCACTTTCCATTTCAGTAATCCATCTTTGTATGATATGCTTTTTGTTTATGGCCCTCAAGTAATGCATATAGCCCTCATCCCATTACTATTTTAGTCCAGGGGAAGGCTTATTTTTCTTATCTACAGATAGGATATCAGGGAATGGCATACACGTAAACAGCTCTCCATAGGTTTATTCTGTTCAGCCCACTACCCTGTCAATCACACTATTTTGTTTTGTTATCACTTTTCTTAGTTTAGCACCATAACCTCAGGATCTGATCTCATCAGATCTCACAGGCTAAATAGGGTGAGGGCAGGTCAATATTTAGATAGGAAACTACCAAAAAATCTCAACTGTTTACAGGAAAGAATACTTTTCCCTGCAACAGCTGCCATGTTCTTCAGTCTCAGTTAGTACCCAGCAGTACTGAATCAGCACCAGTGAATGCAGTCAGAAAGCTATATTTCCTGTCTTTCATGAAGCCCAGTTTGAGTAAACTAAATCTAAAACAGCTGCTATTACTTCAATGAGATATTTCATTTTTCACTTACTCTCCATATCTGTGGCTGCCTTCGTTATTTGTCCCCAGATCTTTCTGCCAGTGCTATTTTTTTTTCTGTCACTGAGCACTAAAACCATCATCCTTCCTTCTTCTCTAGATCTGCTGTAAATTCTAATAGGAATTAGAATTTAGGTTAGGTTAGGTTAGGTTAGGTTATCATAGTCTTCCAATTATCCTAGGAACAACTGATTGCCTCTTGGGAGATTGGTATTTCACTATATTTACTAGAGATACCATTATTCCAGTAGCACATTTTGGTTTCCATTTTATGTCATTAACTGATGTTCGGTTACCCTGAACGGCTAAAAGCTTTCTGTCCCATTTCTGAGGTGGCTAGATTTATGTAGCAAATAAAGTAATTTCCACAGAAGTAACAGATAAACTAAACGGAGACCTTTCTGAATGGAAGTAAATTACTTAGTTATTAGTTTAATTGTAGATCTTTTTATCATTAGGAGCTTTTTAATCAGTGATATGTTGATTAAGCATAGTGCCTTAGGTTAGGGCACCATCCCATGATGAAGCATGATCTGTAAACTGTCTTTTGTGTCCATTCCGGATATCAAGTTCTAGTTTGTTCAAGTTCATCTCCTGATCCTAACTACGACCTTTCCACTTCATTAGAACTAATGCTTGACTTATAATCATGTATTTTTTTTCTTTCCAAATGGAACTATAAGCCAAGCACTTCATGCCTTTTCTGAGGAAACTTGTGCAATTAAGTGTATTTTCCTAAATGCAGTGGATAAGTCAGTTGGCCCATTAAATGATTTATTTAAAAGCTAAAGCCACTGCCGATAATTTGGAAAGAATATGCCACCTTTATTCACAAAGGGTAGTACTGTCTTCTACATTGGAGTCATACGAATATTCAGTAAAATATATTTAACTCAAGTAAAAATAGTAGAACCTGTTCTTTTCATACCATGACCTGACGCTAGATGCACACATTATTCTCAGCTTGTGAGTATTTTCTAAGGATAAATGCCTGCACGAGAACTTTTATTTTTTGTTGCTTTCTCTGTGATTATTAGGCGGGAGGCAACATGATCTAGCGACCAGAACGGGAGACAGACAGTCAGGATATGTGGGCACTTTTATCTTGATTTCGCCGCAGCTGTCATTATTTCTTGGACAATGTGAACCTCTGTCTTCCATAGCTCCAACCAATGGCAAGCAGCTAGTCACAGAGTTGTGGAAACGAATGGGCTCATTGGCCTTGCTCTTAGGCACATCAGCCTCAGATCATCACAAGAGAAGCAGCTATGGAGTGTAAGGGTGACATCATCTACCCTCAGTTCTTACATCACTCAATTTCCCCATCTATAAAATGTGGCTGATTATACTAAACAAATAAACCTAGGAAAATGCTTTGAATACCTTAAATCAATAATTCTGTGTAAAGTAGTCTGTAAATACATAAAACATCCCTTGCAGATAGATGAACCGTAGCATAAGGAATCATAGTGACCTACGTTCTTGTGTTTACTACTATCTTACACTTTGGAAAGTGTCATTGATTAAAAATAGGAGAGGGGGGCTAAATACTGAGTAAAGCACTTCTTAAATATGCTTGAATTTGGATCAGAGAAGTTGAACCATTTGCCAAAGATTGCAAAGGATCTTCAGAAAGGAACCAGGACTTCATTAATTGCTTTTAAAGTTAATTTTTTGCTTGATTTAGTTTCTTTCTCTTGAGTACATAGTAAAATCATGATATTAAATTGTGACAATAATTTAAAAACTTCTGGAGTCATAAAGAAAGAATTGTGACTCCATCACTTCAAGACAAAGGGAAAAAATGGACAAAGTACAGAAAGTTTTGTTTCTAAAATATTTGCACAGACGTTATGCAACATATGTATTAAAGAAGCTACATGTGACATGTTTTCTAAATTCAGTTTTGCTCAGTGTATAAATCCTGCTAGAGAGCTTATTTACAACAAACTTTTGACCAAATAATGGAACTTTACAGGATATCATGAACAGAAGTAATACTGAAAGGCATGACAAGATTGCCTCCATTGGGATTTTTTTATTTATTCTAAATAGTTATATATGTCAGCTTCAGTCTAAAGTTACCAGTTTTTATCCATTAATAACCACTGATTGTTAAAATATGTCACAGATTCTGATAGCTTCCATATTGCCAACATGCTGCCTTCTTTTGTCAAGAACCACTTTTAGATAAGGGCATGTGGCAGATTACTGTTTCTGCTGTTTCTTCCTCACCATTACGAATCTCAGCGTGTAGTCCTCATGCCTTACAGAATTTCACAAGATCCTCTATGTGATGCAAAATTTTCACTTTACATGGACTAAACTACCTCATCACAAAACCCTCATCAACTGACAACACTTAAACGTGAGTTACAGAACGGAGAAAAACTAATACAGCTCCCTTCTTATTTTCACAGCTGGACTCCTATGAATTTTTGACCCCAGCGTGTTAGACATTAACAGGACTGATTTTTGATTCAGAGTTTAAGCTTCACTTCGACTTTTTATTCCCACTGCCAGACGATTACTATCTCTGATCACACTGTGAAAGTTTACCAGTCACAAATCCCTCTAACGTGTAACTTTTACATAGCCTTGATTTATGCTAATCTGGTATATCAACAAATGGACTCATCTGTTTAACTCTGACAAAGCTGATTTATGTTGACATGTTGACTCTTGCACTTTCCAGTGCTGCATTCCCTTTATTAGGGTCTAGTTTTGTGTCAGCTAGACATGGCTGCCTTTCCTCCTTTTTTATCCAGCTGGGAGATATTTCAGAGTTTATAAAAATTAGGACACTGAACTATTAAATTCAGTACATTTGCTGTTAATGTGGACAGTACAAAGAAGTTCCTTTTCATTTCCTAAAAGTTTAGTCATTTGATTTTCTTCATACTTTAGTTGACATAAATCATTAATAATGCCGCTAAAATTATTTAAATTACAGTGGTGGAAAGGCAGAAATTTAGAAAGAATTGATGCCTAATTATTTTAAAACATATTTAGAGTGAATGTTGGTACTGAGTGGTGTGTTCTGAGTGGCATTCAGGCCACAGGCCAGGATAAGAGCTAGTCTGAAGTAACTTCCCCGAAACTCATTTAGCATGGACGTGGGCTCCTTCGACCATCCATTTTGCTCTTCAAGCACAATCCTGTTGCGTCACACATTCCTAATCTCGACATAGCCCAATTTGCCTTAGGGATGTTCAAATTATGGATTTCTGGTTCAATGATCCAATCAAGATATGTCTTAAAATAAAGCAAAACCTTGATTTGGATCAAATGGACACAAAGCAATTTAATTTCAGCTTATGTAAGCATTTTTAAATCTCCTAGTATAAAAATAACAGACAATGGGGATAGAACAGAGAACAGGAAGAAAAAAACCTTATGGAAAATAATTTGACATTCTTTCTCCTTTTTTGATGAATTACTATTTTCTTTAAAATTTTGCTATTTTTAGTACTCTACTATTTTACATGCTTCTTCTATCATTTTACTATTTCAGGGTTGTTTTCCTTCCATATTGAAGGATGTTGTGAAAATTTTCAGAATTTGTAGAATATAGGCTTTGGGAAGATCACAGAACAGAGGTTTCAAAACTACTCTATTATGTTGGCTCAACCGTGCTCTGTAACAGCACCTTTCTTTTTTATTATTTTTAAAACTGCTGAAAAGAAAGAACAGGTCAAAACCCGAAGGCTTAGGCAAGCCTAAGCGCATGTATAAACGGCTGTGATCCTGAGGCTAAGTGTGCCATCTAGTGCTGGAAATCGTTTGTTGACGGGGAAGCGTTAATTGTTCTCTACAAAGGTTACAATATTCATAATACATCCTCCATCACTTACTGGGCAGGCTGCTGATACTCTACATACATATTAAATGTACAGTTAAAAGATAAGAATAATTTGTCACATCCACCATGTTAAGCTAGTACATGTGAACAGTTTGTGAATGACTCTACTTGCACTTTGAAAGCTGCTTGTCAACATCCAGTAACAAGCACATTCAAAAAATAATGAGTCTTTTCCAGAAATAGTGAAATGGTACGTTTCAATGACACAGAGATGAACAACATTACAATACAAGATCTTGAATATACTTCAGACTTTACACTGTTTGCTTATTTTAATAAATTACTGGAACTGATAGCCTGGCTTGCTATGGAACAAATTGTGACAAGACGTTTTTCCTGAAACTCCAATACAGAGAACTGCATAACCCAGTTACCAGCTTCAGACTGGTACTTCATGCTAAAGCTTAGTAAAAAGGCAAATGGAAGTTGAACAGCTGCAGACTGCCTTTTTTTATTCTTTTGGTTCCTGCCAGCTACTCCGTATTCAGTGATGAGATACAATCAGCAATCAAGACACGGACAGCCAAACGCACAGCCCCAGTTTCATTCTGGCCATTCTCTTAGCACAAATATTCTTTTACCACTGAAGACCACACACTTCCGATATGTGCTACCACAAAGTTCTCCTAACACAATCCCACAACCTCATGGCACAGTATGAACAACAAATATGAACATCATTTATCGTATCAGAAGTTTGATGCAGTCCCTCAAAAATTAAAGAGGGAATTCTTTGGGGTAAGGCCTGTGTCACTGTTTCATTCATTCTTCGATGTCACACCTAGCACATTTTAGGCCCCTCAAATAAAGATGCCAGAAAATGTTATGGCTGAGCAGTGTTGGAGTCAAGGAAGTTGTCTGGCAGTCAGAGAGATTTAAAAAAGGCAGCCTGTGAAAATGTAGGGGAACAATTATTTTAAGCATCTCTTGTTGCCTTGGTGCACTGCTAAAATTAAGGCTGACAGGAAGCCAGATCTCACACTGGTGGGTAGAGCAAGAGAAGGACGAGGGTAATTCAGAGATATTTAATCACATTTCCCATTTGTTTAGTGGCACTGCCATCAACTATGAAGTGATTTCATGTCACATCTTATCCTCTGTAACTTAGATTGCTGCCAAAAGAAGTCATCCAGATTGCCCTCCCACGGAAGTGCGCTCCCACCACTGTCCTCATGTCAGATCTAGTGATCCTGTAGCATCGGATTGTGCCAGGTCAGTGAGTTGATCCAATGGAAAGCTAACTAAAAAAAAAAATACAAAACAAAGTTTTCTATCAGACCAACTGCCAAAAATGACACCCTGCAGCCTGCTATATCACTGTATCACATGCAGGCGCAGCAACACTGGTGGAACACTTAAGGAAGACGATCACCACTTCAGGCAGCAGCACATAGCTCATCTGGATTGTGAACAACTGAAACCATACTCCAGAACTAAAGAACAAAGTGTTCACAAATGAGTGTGAGGTGCATCCCTTCAAGAAGCAGGTAGTAAAAGTTCATTTTGATATGTTAATACTAAAATTATATTTATTTTTAACATGGAGAAAGTGATATTTTTAGATGTTTAAGTTGCATCCTTTGAAGGAAAAGCATGCTTCTTTACATTAAAAAGACAAAAATTTGTGTTTTTTCCTAATATATTTTTTTCATTTTGCTGTGTGAGTAAAGATTTCATAGGCTGTAAAAATGCATAGAATACAGTAAAGAAGGTAAATGACCTTCTTTGGCGAGCAACATCACCTTTGTTATCTTCAATTCAATGTTGTTTTTAAATAATCACGCAAAATAGGGTCTGAAGCCGACAGCAACTGGAAACACCGAGGGGCACAAAATTTGCAGTGACATTCTCTGTATTTACAAAAAAAACCATACCTCTTTACAGCTAGGTGGGCACTCTCACTATTCACAATGCTCAGCCTTATTCTCCTTCAGGAATAGGCAGGGAGCCCAAATCAGTTCCCCAGTGGACTGGAAGTTTTTGTGTATCCATTGCTCAGCAGTGATCCAGTTCTGAGCTAGTACTTTCAGAATGTTCTGAATGCTAAGATCAAGGAGGTGATGCAGAGCAATTTGTATTGTTCCTCCCAGCAAATATTTTTGAAACATATTACAGCAGGAGAGTTCTTAAAACAGTGCGTTGCCTGTAGGAAGCTGTATTTCAGACTTTGATGTACAGTAGAGATACAGGAGAACTATCATATCCTTTCTCAATTTCATCACCAATGATCACAGTAGTAATTCAAAGACCCAACTGAGGACTCATTTGCACTGAATATTAATGTAGGTGTAATAGATAAAAAAAAATGGCAGGAGTAGTTTTCAGAACAATACATCTGCCAGCAACAATCTTTGAAACAAATCCAAGTCTAACTGAGCAGTTACTTTCCCTTTCTTGAAAAAGTGACTCAATATGATCAGCTACATCTTTTCAAAAGAAGACATATGGACTCTTTTCTTTGATTGATTTTGATCTAAAGTCACAATGGTAGTGATTTCAGTGGAAGGTAAGCTCTTAAATGAGACTTGGATATCTAACTGTCTTTGATAGGTGTTAGCTTTTGTAAAGGTACTTACTTGACAGTCTGAAGACAAAAGCTTCTTCTCATGCCAAAAATAGAATGAATGCACCATTTTGGAAGACTGCTCACGCAGCCCTGCCAACTTACCTTAACATTTTTCTGCAGGAATCACCTCAAGTTTTACAAAGAATTGATCTCCCATGTCATTTGGCTCCTCAAATCTGCTAAAATGACTAGCATAGGTGCTTAAATTATAGCATTTAGTTTCGCTTAAGATCTAACTGTCTGTTGGATAGAAAACAGACCAGTGAATAGCTCACTAAATACCAACAGTTGTTATCAACTTATAATCAGATCCTGAAAAGATTAACTCCATTGAAATAAATGGAGTTCTGCAAGCAGCACACTTACCTTAAGTACTCATCTATCAATGATTTAAAATACTATCAGTCCTCTGAGTCGTCCAATCTGCCCGTAAAATTGCTTTTAACTCAAAGAAATTTATGGGACTAGATTTGCTCAAAATTTCAATTTTCATTTAAACATCCATGTTCAAAATTTACGTATTAAAATATGTGATTTTGATGGTCAAATACTGAGAATAAAATTGCTGGTTTTATGCACGGATCCTTTAAGAGTACCCTGTTAGAAACACAAGCCACCTTTTCCTGTCAAAATCCTGATGAATCCTTTCTCTCACTTGTTATACTTTGAGGAGAGATTACTTCATGTCCTCTCCATTACTTTCATGCTTAATGGCATCGCAATGAAAGAAATGACACCTTACCGAATTAGGACCCAGACGAGCATCCCTTGGAGGCTGAGTTTCAGATCATTATTTCTGCTGACACTGTGCAGCTGTTGCAGAGTTTTTTTCTAGGAGCAACTTCGATTTTTTTTTTTCATCTTATTTTTTTGCCATAGAAGTCTTTAGCGGGAAGAGGAAGGCACGGCTTGTTGGGTCAGTGATGCAACACCAGCTGACAGGTGGGTTTCAGGGAACTCTCTGGGGCCATGGCCTCTTTAGTGGTTTTACCACTCTAAACTCAATTACAGCAGAGTTTCACGCTCCATAGCAAACTCCAGTCCTTTTTTGATAAAAACTCTACAAAGTAAATAAGTCATGATGATGATATGGGTCTACCATTTAATATTCATTGAAGTACATATGTTTGAAAATTGGAAGCAGAGTTTAATCCATTTTCATATTTATATCAACATGAAGCTTTAAAAAGGATATATTTCCTTTTCGCAGAGAATCTTGACAATTTCTGGTCTGACAAGATAAATAAAGATGAACAAAATTTACTTTGAATATAAGGAGAAGACCCAAGGAGATTTGAAATGCAAACCTTCAAGTATACATCTTGAATCTACTTTCAAGAGGGAACACATTTCTTCCTGCTGTTTGATTTTCAGTTTGATTGAAATGACATAAAATACTTTAAAGGATTCTTATTCTTTGCACTGCGTGTAAAATTTGACACAATTTACTTAGATCTTATTGCACAGTGCACTGATGGTATAAAATAACAGGTTAATATATTTTGTGAAGGACCTTTTAAATTTATGACCAATTTCTGCTCTCATTTAGACACATTAGCTCAAAGTAAATTTCTGTCTTTGACAGATTTAAAATTAAAGCAATGATCAAAACTGGGCTGTGTATAGGTATGACAGTGAAATCAAAACATACAAAATGACTAGTCTATATGAGAACTACAACTGAAAAAAGAAACAAAACATCAGTCTCAAATCATTTTAAAATTTCCAATTTGGAAAAAACCCGCACCCTTACATAGCATTAATCATTACATTATAATATCCTTCAGTTTTTCCTGCCCATTTTATATATTTTCCAGAGAAATTAGAAAGAAGATGTGGAAAAGTTTTCTTTGTCTTACTGTTTCATTTCAGAACATTGCAAGATAAATTAACCTGGTAAAAAAAGAGTTAACATAATGATGTCGTATTTTATTTGACTGAATGTTTAAGCATGGTGCTACAGCTGATGGCACCTTGTTTAATAATGCAGTACATAGCTTCCTAAGGGGACAGGGCTTGATTTGAAAACTGAATATGGTGCACTCTAAATTCTCTTCCCTGAGGAAGGCTGACTAACTGATAAGTGCCATGAGCTAGCACAGGGACTGATTCTGTCAAATCAAGCTCAAATGGAAGGCACCATGTAGAATCTTCTCAAGTCTTAGTGAAGTAATTTGAGCAGACATTTGTGACATTAGACAGTGCATCAACTATGGAATGCTGTAAAAGTTCACTGTCTTACTACAAGGTGGTCTTTAGATGACAGGATAAAGAAATCAGTGCAAATTTGTTAATGTAACAACTTGGAAAAGCATGCTAAAAATGTCACTCTATTGGGATATGTGATAAAATGTATAGGGAAGTGACTGCCAGTTGGCTTTCCTTGTGAATCCTTTATTAGAACTCATGTCAAAGGCATAAACATAGGAAAATGCAACAAATATAAAATTTGTGTTAGTTGCTATCAGCTGAACTTTGTGTTTTTGCTGAGCTAAAAAATTCCAATGGACAGCTAGGACAAGTAAGCAAGAAAATCCATTACTTAGCAGCTTGTTTTTCTCTTCGGGATTATGTAGTCATTCTTTTAGTTAAGTCCAGTTGTAATACAACCCAAACTTTCTGTACTAAAGTCCTTGAACATCTTGCCTATGTGAGGTCTGAAGGATCAAGATATTTATTGCAACGTCAGGAGGATAATCATACAGACTGAGAAAGAGATAGCGTGTGCTAATCAGATATTAATAACGTGCAACTTTCAACAAGTTAGTGAGAAAGACTGGAAATGAATGGAAGTGCTTGACTAAATAAAACGGAAAATGAAAATGAGATAAAAGATGAATTTGTCAGTGGTCAATCATGCAAGCCTAACCTAGTATTTTTCTGCAAGTAAATAATTGATTTCCAGGCATAAGAAATGCGGAGGATTTCTGCCTGGTTTCCAGTGAAAAAATTGAAAAGTTGCTACCTGCGGAAAGCATGGTAGCTAAGGAACTGATCAAAAGGGAATGTAATAGCAAACACTATTGAAAGTAAGCATTTCAAGCTAGAGAGAGGTTACTAGTGGATATCTTCCAGGATAATTTTAAGAACGAGTTGTCAAAAGTTTCCGACCTTATCAGAGAAGTAGAAGTGCGCTGACAAGACGGGTTAGCATGCACAGTTAAAAGATACTGCAATACAATAAAAATCAGGATGTCACAGGAAGACCTGATGATCGATATACTAAAGTTGTGAGGAAATGATATATCACAAAACGCAAGACTCTGCATTTGGAGATTAATAACAAGATCTTTGTTGTAAACTGGGAATTCATCAGCTGGGTAAAGACTCATCCCAGTCTAAAGACTGATAACAGGGGAAATAGCAGATGTCAATCTGATGCCAGTGTGGGAAAGGCAAATGATACCAAGCAGGTGACAGATGAGGTTTTTCTGTTAAAGATAAAGAAACATTAACATCACTGTGCAACACATCTGGCGAGACCTTACCTGGAACGTTGTGAAGCTTTCACGTCACCAGAATCAGGAAAGAAACCTTCAAACTGGAACAGTCCTGGAAGAAAAGACAATCTTGTGAGATAGCACGAGAAGACAGTGACCTGTTTAGGCTGATGAGAGATATCATTTGCTTTTAAGAAACATATCAATTGGGAGAAGGAGGAAAAGAACTTCCATTTAAGGACAATGACTAGCAGATGAATGAATGGCTGTAAGAGAGCCATGGGGCTCCTGGAGGAAGCTCTCATGGCAGTGAAGTTCTGGAACGCAGCTTCCAGAGCAGTGGAAGCAAAACGGCTAATACCCAGTATGATGAATTTTGACAAATTCAGGAACAGAACATGATGTATGTAGGCTAGCGTTGGATTTGATGACCTAGAAAGCTCTTTCAGTCCCATATTCTGAACTCTCTATTTCAGTAGTTTTGATGTTTAATGAAATAACAGTCCTTAACTCCTGTTGTGCAAAGCTTAACTCCCTTGGAGGAAGTTAAGATTGATACTTTGCATTTGGAGGAGTTCAAACACACTCCTGGATCAGACTTCTATAACTCCTTTTCTTGATTTAGACTGATGTCCTGACACTTTCCTCAGTGCTATTTATGTCAGGGCAAATTGTGGTTGCTTCAGCAATGGAAATACTATCAATGAGCTTTATTTTAGCTCTCCCATAAAGCAACATTTTCGGAAGTAATACTTTATGTAAGTGCATACACTTACATTCACTTCTTTCCTTTTTCTGCTTATACTCTCTTGGGCTGTATAGAGCTCTTTATTACCATTTTTATGAGTGGTGTGCTCAGAGGGGCAATTAGGCCAGAATCTGAGAAGCGTACTCAGCCCTAAAGTACTGGTGCTATACAAGAAAATACAATAATGATCTTGTATTAACGTACCATGGGGAGAATTTTCAGAGGTATTCGGCATCTGTAGAACTGTACTCCCACTGATATTACTGGTATTATATAAAACTCTTCAGAGTTTTTTTTATATAAAACTCAGCCTCAGCCTTCTCATGCTGCAGAGACAGTAGGGATGCAAGCGTACTTCCATTGCAGGGGACACTGAGAAATTTTGTAACAAACTCATACTCAAGTTTTAATTCTTGGAATTCTACTTCTGTGTTGCACAAAGACGTCTGTTGTGACTCTGGCGAACCTGACCACTATTAACCCAGGGAAGAGTCAGGAGTTCATACTACCTTTTATGGATAAGGCTGATCTATAGTGAAGGCTAGCCCTTACCTTAAAAGTGTGCACCATACTGAGAGGTCGACAGAGAGGGTGAGGGAGGGATGATCAGCTAATTGAGTCTAATCATAAAAGGTCTAACTTGAGGCACCTACAGTACTGATGCTCATAAATGGCAAACTGGAATGCAATAGTTTAATGAATATAGATAGGATGACTCTCATGAAATAGGGAAATCTTTATTAAAATATGGATTATATTACAGATTAGTTATTACTATGTAGTTTAAAAATTAATGGAATATATATATTCATTGCACTAATTTTAATTTGTGAAAATAGTTCAGCTGCCAAAGCACTTTCAAGATTTCCATAGATCCACCATATAGTGTGATCAGATTATTTTACTTTTAGAAAAGCTTCAGTTAAAAATACATTAAGCA